TATGAGTGAGGAAATAACAGAATTTTAAGGGTTTATGTGTGTATATATCTATATAATTTTGACTATTTAGGGGTTTTGAAGGCTTATTTAATCAATTTTATAGTCTACTAATATGTAGAAAATAATATATATTATTTTTTTCCTACCCCTCCATTGGATAATACCTCAATCAGCCTTGCAATGTTTTCTTGGATTGGTTGTGTTGACTAGACGAGGCAGTAATCAACATTGTGCACTTTTGTGATTTTGAATCTTCAAGAACTTGGCAGCTTTGAAAATTGGCATTTCCAGAAAATCCTGTGGATAAGAAGTCTAGGTTGCTATTTGTGTTATCGAGCCAATCGAAATGTACGCAACTCATTAATGAACTCAATGGAAATCTAATACTCTAGATCCGGATTTTTATGGCCAGTATATGAGGATGAGAACGTTAGAATCGGGATTTATTGTCATTTTACAACGAAAATCAACAACAATAATACTGTAATAATAACAATTTATAGTGCTTTTAACTTAAGTTTAACTTACGCTTTACATGGAAATAAAATACAAGGACTTATACAATTTACATTTTTTTTTTGGAAATCTAATACTCTAGATCCGGATTTTTATGGCCAGTATATGAGGATGAGAACGTTAGAATCGGGATTTATTGTCATTTTACAACGAAAATCAACAACAATAATACTGTAATAATAACAATTTATAGTGCTTTTAACTTAAGTTTAACTTACGCTTTACATGGAAATAAAATACAAGGACTTATACAATTTAGACATTTTATCTTATTCAGTGTAATTGTATCTCTTTTTAATTAAAATCAAAGATACAAGTACTGTAAAAACGAGATACTGTACAAGCTTATTGAAAATAGTGTTCCCAGCAACATGTAGGCACGAGTGACAGTGAGATTAAACATTATGTGTTGGTAATAAAATGAAAACGTCTAGAAAATTGATACCAAAATCAAATCTTTATGATCAATTATTATTAGTTACATAAAAAATACAAAGTGACCTACTGCGTCGAAATCCAGAAAACGGGGCTTGGGTTGCGCTATCATTTTCAGTGAAGTAACTTTTTTTTCAAAAACAAGGTCGAAGGTCAAATGAGGCATTTCTGGTAAATTTGGGCAAATGTAGCATTAGATGAAATATACAACCTTCAATACGTGAATGCATATGTGGGGGCTGGCGGATTTTTTTTTTATCGCCCATGTGCTTATACGTGCGTTGTATCGCACTTTGCACTTAATCGTTGCACTGTGTAATAAATGCCTGTCGTACTTTGTACCAAAGTTGTTGCACTTTGTAATTACTGTTGTCGTACTCTGTAACAAAGTATGCACACTTTGTAATAACTTGTTTTAACTCATTAAAAAAATAAAAATAAAAATTAGTTTGTACAAATGAGGAATATGGTACGTGATATTGCAAGGTCAAATGTCACATGCGGCATAAAGATGCCTTTTGACTGTAAAGATCACTATACAAGCGCTGTGTGACAACTTTGATACAAAGTGCGACAATTAGTACAAAGTGCCACATAACATATATGTATGTCGATTTAAATATAGAAAAATCTTTGATATTTGTTTCACCTCAAATGCTAGAATGTCTAGACTAGAGCAGAAATATTCAATTGTTAACAAAATAATCACCAAATATCGGATTTTTGCCCTAAAAAAAGCATGACAGTACACCTGATAGTCGAAGTCAGTTGCATTTGGTAAGAAATATGATTGGCTTTTAGATGAGGTGCAACATGTCTGTTTGCACACTTTCCTTTTTGAGTATATTATCTAAGTTGCTGATTTTTTGCTGTTTTTGATATTTGTATTTTCAAGTGTTATGAATTAAAATTTACTGCATTATACTCGGCAAGTACGGTACTATATAATGGTTTCAGTCTTCCTTTTCTATTGTCACGTCACGATCATATAATTGGTCAAATTCTGACACAGTATGGTTGAAATATCTATTCACTAAGTACTGTTTAATTTTAAACAAATTCGCGTAATCTCGAAAGCTCTGGTGAGGGCAGTAGAGTATATTAGCCCTAACGGCCGCCCATACAAGAAAAATGAATTAATTAATCAACTGAGTTTCTAGAGCTCTAACGGCCGCCCATACAAAAAAGAGGTATTAATCGATCAGCCAGCCGAATGTTTCTAGAGCAGCTCATCCAAGCTAAAAATACAATGAAAACTAATGTGCTGCGGCAAGACATGTCCACAGCACTTCATTAGTCGTTTGTCAATAACTTCAGTAACAGAATTAATGATAACGAGTCACCGTCTGATCTCTTCATTTCTAATTTTATTTATGCAGTGCCAATGATTCAGATTCATAGGTTAGGGTAACTAAAGGTAGAATTTAGTCTATAGACTTATAAAGTGCTACCAGTGTTTTTAAAAAACAGAATTTGTTAAAATTTGTTTTTTAGGTGTCAACAAAATGATGTTTTAGAGACTTTTATAAACACAAGACAAAATCTACTTTCTTTTCTTGTTTTATTTCAAATACAACATCAGTTGTACATTTATTAAAACAAAGTTTAAAGATGTCATCAAATTCTTATTTTCTGTTGTTTTATTCTAGATACGAAGTAATCTCTTAATTGCTCCACAATTCATTAGCATCTTGTTTAATGACATGTATGACGAAAGTTATTTAGTGGATTTTAGGCTGTCCAATCCTGGGAGACGGCACCACCCCAGTCGGACGATGGCGTTGGTGCTGCCCAATCCTGAGTCTTGGCTGAATCGGCTGCCCAGTCTTGCGTCTTGTTTGGCTCTGGTGGAGCAGCAGACCAGTCATCTGCGGTGCCGCCAGTGGACCAGTCGCTGGTAGCTCCGAATCCAGTTTGCTGAGGTGGTGGTGCTGCTGCTGCTGGAGTAGCTTCTGCGGCCCACTGTGCAACAGAACAAAAATACATTTGTCAATTTAAAATAAGCATGTCAAAATAATACAGCTCATCCAACACTTTCAATTTAAAAAAAAAAAACCACACAGTGATCAAAACAAGAAACCTTTCCGGAGTATCAACCTAAATTAAACAACTGACCAATTAGATCAAAACCAAGAATACATACTAACAACAATATAAAAGGGTGAAAAATAAAAATAATAATAGTGTAGTTTTATATAGCGCACAAATCCATCTAATGTAAGATGCTCAGGGTGCTTGAAATGTGGACTAGAAACTTGATCAATTACTTTCTTCACCCCTAAGGTCCCTTCGTGTCTGTGCTACCCAGTAAGCCGGTACCAGCAACTCTCATCGTCCACCACAGGGGCTGTCTGTTCCAGTACACCGGGGTATCCCCCTACTTGTCTCGAAGGATGTACTGGGTTCTTTATAGTGCACACGAGCCATTGTATACACTGGGCCTACGGTTTATATTCCTTATCCGAGAAGACTTGTTCTACCACCAGAACTATAGGCGAGCGTGCCGTTTGAACCAGCGGTGATATTATGGCTATAGCTTGCGGCGCCCCTGCTAACCGCTCGGCCATTCGACTCGTATAAGACAACCCTGTTTCACTGTCAGAATTCATACTTTTAGTAACTCTTTATGGTCTTTATACTTCAACTAGCTGACTAAAAGTGGAGGCAAATGAAGGGCTAATCTTGAAAATAATACCATTTTATGGACTTTTAAATGTTAATAAAAATCTCATTTCTCTGTATTTAAAACTGCGTTTATTTATACTAACATTTAGTAGGTTCATTGCAGTAGTAAATTCGCATGTTACAGACAACCCACACATAACTCAATAAAGATTTCAAAAATCTAATATTTGTATGTCGCACGTATAAGACAACCTGTTTTTTTCAATCGTCATTTACTATTTTAGGCCTCGTCGTATACACGAATAGAGTGTATACAGTAAATCTTGCAATTTTATAAAGCTTTTCAGCACCATCAGGCCACCGATTCTATCCTGACTGCTTGAATGTACATGCCATGGGTGAGAAACAAATGTTCTACTGCAAGATTAACAATGTCTTTAGCAAAACTTACATCATCGACAACTGGCTGTATGGCATCTGCTTGTCCACCCCACTGCTCCGGGTAGCCAACATTTACTGCAGGCTCTTCCTTGGCTTGCGCCCTCTCGCGGGCATCTTGCTCGTCCTTTTCAGCCTGTCGGAATAAAAAACACGATTGAAATACGTCATTTAAATGTCAAATAACAAACTATCTGACTTTGTTATCTGACAATAATAACAAAGTCAGATTAAAACAGATTATAATTTTCACAGAATTAGCCATCACAAATGTTTTGTTTATTTCATTAACATAGGAAACTGTTTCTGACTTTTCAGCACAATTAGACCACTTTTTTTTTAGTCTAACTGCTTCCTATTAAACCAGATTAAATTATTCTTTGCCCGCTACTGGCATCTCATCCTCCTCATTATCTGAGGGGCGGATGTGGCGAGTGGGCAAACTGAAAAATGTCAAAGCCAAGTTATATTGATTCTTTACCTTTAGAAATGTACTTTGCTTAAAAAATTATTCTAGTAATTTAAAACGAAAGGGAGCCACATTGCGTTTTTGCCTGTCTGCTTTTTTCGTATACTACAAATGCTAATATAGAGGAGCATGAAAATTACCACTACTGATTAATTAGTAATATTCTATTCCAGCATATTGCATTGCTGTGGAAGGATGTGAACCTGTAGCTACTATATAAGCACCTCTTTACAGCCGCTAGGTAGTCACAGACCACGCCCCTACAGAATTCGGCACAATCACGCTGCCAGTTATGGGGTATTCTCCTACCCTTATATTTACTTCAAAGACGAAGCAGTAAAAATAACGCATGCTGGTACACGGCTGGAAAAATTCCAAAACAATAAACTGCTGGGTTATACAGTGTGTGATTTGGTGATGGAGCCATTTGTCACTTTCATGGTTGGAGGCACTAACATTCTTTTTTCAAGGGCTGCTGTTACAAGGAACAAATTTATGTTGGCTTTATTATTGAGTTCTACTACTTACATCTTCTGGGTCACGGTAGAAGTACAGATCAGGCATGGTTTCCCAAGAGATCTCACGGCTAATGGTTCCACGAAGACGGAGAACTTCACGTGCCAACATCCACCACATCAAACCAATGGAATGAATACCCTAGGAACACACAAACAGGAGTTATGTTGAAGGAAACAAAGAGAATAATTCAAGAGACACAAAAAAAATAAAATATGAAGTTGTTTCTAGTTTTTCAGCACAACCAGACCACTATTCTAGCCTAATCGCTTCCTATTAAACTAGATCGAGTTGTTATTTGCCCGCTACTGGCATCTCATCTCCACCATCAAATGATGGGCTGATGTGGCGAGTGGGCAAGTAACATATGATGTTACTGTACTATAAAATTATTTTCATTAAAACATTAAAGAAAACAAGACCAATTGAGCATTAATAATGTTTCTGGATAAAAATATGAAGTAAATACCTTGTTGTTGCAAGGTATGGCAATATCAATGTGACGGAGAGGCGCGTCAGTGTTGCAGAGCGCAATGACGGGGATGTTCACATAAGAGGATTCTGTGATTGGTTGCTGATCAGTACGTGGGTCAGTCACGACGAGAAGACGTGGCTCACGGTATGCAGCTTGGATCTGATTGGTGAATGTACCCGGAGTGAAGCGTCCAGCAATGGCAGTGGCTCCTGTTGCCATGGCGAATTTCAACACTGCACGCTGCAAAGAATTATACAAAATTACTTTACACCCACATTTGTTCCTATTAGCAATATCTTTCGGTTTTAAAGTGTTTTATAATTGTTTCTAGCTTTTCAGCACAATCGGACCACTTGTTCTAGACCAACTGCTTCCTATTAAACTAGATCGAGTTATTCTTTGCCCACTACTGGCATCTCAGCCTCCTCATTATGTGAGGGGCGGATGTGGCGAGTGGGCAGAAGCCATAAATAGAATAGAAAGTTATGAATAAAAAGTTTTGTTGACAATCTTCTGGTAAATGGATAAATAAAGCAAGCAAGGTAAAAAGCATCCACTTTGCTATTACAGGTCTCTCTCACTAAAGACCCCACCAATTAAGGACCACCTCCAATTAAAGACCACCTCCAAGTAAAGACCACTTTTCTATGGTCCTATATCTACAAATGCCTTTTATCTTTATTATTCTAATTAAAGACCAAAGCTCCTAAAGACATGGAAACACCAGTCCCAAAGTGGTTGTTAATTAGAGGAGACCTGTAGTATCATTTTAAGCCATCTACATTATATATTTCAGATAATAAACTTGCGATTTGCCCATAAAATGTCATCTTTTCCATATATAGGACATCTGTACCATTAATCTTGAGACTCTAGAGCTTAAAATCAAGTTACATACCTGGCCATAAGGGCGAGCAGAGATAACACAGACATCAGCTGGGTTCTCCACTGCAACGATGGCTCTAGCAGCTAGCAACAGCTTTTCCCATGTGCGACGAAGGTTGATAATGAAACCACCTAATATTAGATAATGCAAAAACCAATCATAAATTACCGACTCTTGTTTATATATTAATTCAATTTTATGCAAGTTAGATTGATGCTTTAGACCAAAATATCTCCTGTCTAGTATAGTAGTAGCCAGTACACGAACGTAGTTCAGACCTCAGAATGTACGACAGAGAAGCATCTGATTTTTTGAAGTCTTAAACTATCAGTCTAAGATCCGGTCCGTTTGTTCGTCCAACATTAGATGAGCCATTGCAATTAAGTGTTTTATTTCTTACTTAGATCATTACTGTTGATTTAACAAACTCAAAATATTGAATTTAAAAGAGGGCCTACCATCACTTTTGCGTTTGTAGATGTATTGCATCATCTGGTAATCTACATTTTGGGCTCCGATGTGTACACCAGCGCCCAGGAATTTGGTGACATCATCTTCTTTGAGGGCTAGAATATCATGATTTCCGGACATCTTGTTGTTGATCTTTTAAAGTTACGGGGATCAACCTGAAAAATAAAAATGTTCTTTTTGAAGCCAGACAGGAATCACAGAACAGGATTAACATGGATGATAGATAATCTTCCAACATTTTTACAATCAGAGATGTTGACTGGCACACCTCAGCCTCACTATCTTAATGCACAGGTCTATGGTGTCTTAGTAATTAATACAGGCCTAGCCTATGTGTTTTTTGTCTTAAAATCTTTAAATTTAAACATTTAAAGGCCAAATACATGTCCCCGCCTTCATCAAATTGTGGAGCCTCATGAAAAATTTTAGTATTTTTCAAATAAACAATAATTTTTCCACGGAAAATGAAAATAATGCCAACCCGAAAGATTGTTGTCAAAGCTTATGAGGTGGAAACATAAAAGGCAGACTACATTACAAAGATTCATTTTATTTCTTTTTAAAAAAATAATTATTTAATTAACAGCCTGTTTTCCACCAGGCCTATATATAGGATATAGTATATAATCCTAGCAGACGTCTTTCTGAAGTTCGTAAAATGTATTTCAGTTACAAAGTCTTCAAATATCCGTGCAGGGATTATGGTGGGTGGTGTCGCCCTGCCTTGAAGTTACCCACCTAGTCTTACACCTGTGTTCTTAAAACAAACTTCGAACTAGAACTTCATTTAGTGCTAGTTGCAACTTCAACTTCAATTTGTATTCACAAACAACATACAGTATTCGAAGTTTTAACTACGACTAAATCAAGTCCTAGTTTTAGTTTAACTGAAGATGACTGGAGCGCCACGAATATCAAACTAACCAATAAAAAGGGCCACCTTTAATAGCAGACAAAATTTTAGAGATTAAGTAATGCGGATGAATATTAAGGTGCCGTCTGTGGTTCAAAAATATATTTCCTCATAATTTATAATAAGCCATCATTCACTTAATTAATTTTCTATAATAACTATATTAGTTGTTAACATATTACGATAGAGAATTTGAACAGTTGCTGGAAATTTGCTTTCTTTGAAGAACTATTATAGTTGAGTCTGAGCGAGGGCGGCGCCATCTTTAATGTTGTTATGGTGAAGCTACGCAAATCAGGAACTATCGCATTTGGCTAGCAAAATATGTTAATTTCTCTTTTTTGAAGCTCAACTTAGGCCCTATAAAAAATATTATTAGTTTATCACCCTATCTGGGCAGGAAAAGTGATGAGGGAGGGAGGCTTTTTTTTTTTTTTTTACTTTGCTAAAGCCAAATATTATCCTTGGTTTGTTTGCTGGTGCATTGATATTCAAAGTAAAACATGATTAAATAATGCAAACAATATCTACTAACTATTTAATAAAATAAATGAAAAAAATAAATAAATTAAATAAAAAATTTAAAAAAAATTTCCAATTTTTTTTTTTCAGTACCATAAAATGCATTCGCGCGAGGGTGATGAGCTAATAATTTTTTTTATTGGGCCTTATGTCTCTAGTTTAACACACCGAAGATATATCAAACCCACTTTTCCATCCTCAAATTCACTCTTATTATTTGGAGTACAGTATATAAATGTTATTACCAACCCACCCTACCATCAACGCTTAGTTTTCTACAGCCACAACAACCCTGCCATAGTAAATACAAACTTTCCATAACACCTAATAATTTGTCTTGAGTGCAAATTGCTTAGCCAAGATATTACATCTGTGGAATTAGAAATGGGACAGGATGATAAATTGTTATTTATTATTTAATCTGACAAGTACGAGTTGTCTAGGTAGGGACGGTGTAACCAAAGGCTCACCAAAAAACTA